TAACATAGATAAATATTAAGGTATTTTCTATTAGAAGTCAAATAGACAATATTGCAATTTTTTTTATCCGCATTCTTTCCATAGTGCTAGACTCGTGAGGCGAACTTTACATCCTGGGCAGCATGATTATAGAGCGGGCAGATCAACAGAAACCGTGTTACTTGAACTCACTGACAGCATCCAAAGCACATTGTATATTAAAGAAGTAGCCGTCTGCACCTTCTTAGACATAGAGGAGACATTTGATAACACTTCTCATGAGCCAATTATCGGTTTAGTGCACGTGACGTCACTAAATTGACACTGGAGATAAGACAACCTAACCTTATCCCATTTGTTTGTATGGAAGTTAGAGTGTCATGCTTTCTTCTTTTGATATTTTTTCGGTATTTTAATTATATTTTTGTTTGATTTACAGTTTAATAGTTTATAAAGACATTTATTTACGTTCATATTATAATATATTCGGCGGCATTATTTTTACATCCTACAACGGCACAATACGAGGCTATTTTGACCATAGTCTACATATACTATCCTAGGAAGTGAATTATATTTTCAATTAGAAACAATTTTTCAAAGAATTAGGAGGGTTAGACGGCGCAATTTCAAAAATACACAAATTTTTAGGTTATATTACCTCCAAGTACGTCTAAATGTGGTCACGTGCCGCACGAAACCCATAAAGAATGCGCTCGTCAAAAAAGGAGTGGACAGAACCACATCCACCTGGATATGCGAAACACTAGCCACCAGAACTGCAGAAACTGACGTAGGTGAACAAACCATACAGGTCACCACCACTAGAGGATGCCCGCAGTGAAGAGTACTATCACCTTTTGATGTGGAGTCTAGTGGTTGATAACCTCCTAAATTTACTGGCCGATCAGGGCTCCACCTGTATTGGGTACGCCGATGATATTGACATCATGGCCAGAGGCAAATACAAAGGAATACTCTGTGATCATATATAGAAAAAGAGCACACCGAACCACGAAGGAATGGTGTCAGACAATGGGGCTGAATCTAAACTCAGCAAAAACCACATTGATAACATTTACAAAAAGAACGAAACTCTCAAATCTGTGAAAGATTCGCCTCGATGGAAGCAGACTTGATTGGAAAAAAGAAGTAAAATTCCTAGAACCGACATGTAGAGAACACAAAAAACAAAGCAATTTCGGCACTCATGGTCTACGAAAACATTGCTGGTAAAACATGGGGTTGTAACCCATTATTTCTAAGATGGAGGTATACCATGATAGTGAGACCTATCATCACTTACGGAGCGGTAACCTGGTATAGCCGAACCCAGCTAGGAAAACCCTAGGAAAAGTGCAAAGAATCGCGTGTCTCTGTATAACAAGAGCAATAAGATCATGCCCAACCGCGGCACCAGTAGATCATGTCTCAGACTGGAGAAGATAAGTCTACAAAAGAAAATGCACTTGACAAACTGTGCATACCTCATGGATCTACCAAAAAACGTCAGAGAAGCGGCTAAAGAACAAACAATGGATAGGACTACGACTGGCCAAAGATCTATTGGGCAACTTCAATCAAAAAATATCAAAACTGCTGGTCAACCTTAGCAAGAAAAGTTTCAAGACTCTAACTGGGTTTCTCTCGAGACATTGCAGACTTAAGAAACACCTACAGAAGTTGGGGTTAGAAAAAGATGGCACCTGCATATTTTGTGAAGATAAAGAAGAGACACCTCACCATGTTCTACTGAACTGCGACGGCATTAATCGCTCAAGGATGAAGAACCTGGGAAGTGCCCTATATAGTTGGAAAACATTCCAGCCCTGGAACCACTAGATATCCTAAAATCCTTAAAGAACCTAGGACTGGAGGAGCTGCTTTGAGTAGGAATCCTGAACTTAGCAGCAAAAGGAGGGGTACAATAGATCAACCTTAGTCGCGGTGCAACTGTCACCTCCAATACAGACATACATACTTACATCCCGATACATGTGGACTTAATCCACTTAAATTAAATTTATTTCAATTTTCTTGTTTTTATTTCCTAATTTTCTTCGACTTCCTCTTACGAGTTTATAATAATAGATCTCAATGTACCATCGCCACCAAAAGTAACTGGTGCAGTAACATATTAGCTCTTGTACTATTATATGACTTTTAGTGTTAAATATTCGTCAAACTATGAATAAAATGAATGATGGTAGAAATAGTCTAGGAGATTATTATGAATTATTTTTGTTCCAGATACTTTTGGTGACGATGGTACATTGCACAATATATTGTAAAGCGAAGCCAGTATATTGTTGAATTGTCTTCGCTGTGAACAAATTTAGCTCAAAACCCAAAATAATCCTGTCACATTGTCGCCATCTGAAACTCAATCCGGCTCTTGGAATTAACTCCACCGTCACATAACCGTGTCAGGTATCAAATATCGCGAGTCAAACTTGCTTGCCAATTTGCTACTTTTTCATCTTGTGTGGCAGAGAAAATTTTTCATACTCGAAAAAGTTCCAGATGTTTGGATATCACTCAGCAGGTGCCAGCATCTTTTGGCCAGGCCCTGAGAATCCTTTAATTCCCGAAAACCAAATATTTGGATTAGTTATCACCGAAATAGCACAAGACATAAATCCATAAAATTGTTTAGCTGTTACAAGATTTGTTTGTTTGACTTGCTATTGCAAAATTGTCATTTAACAACAATATTACTGTTAAAAGAAAACATATTAAGACTTGAAAGTTCAGAAACATCTCTTGGGAAAAATGATTTTGTCGGCTTTCTTTGAGTCAGTTAAACCGAGAGACAAAATGTCAATCATGGCGTATTTTAACTCGTTAAGAGATCTTTAACTCGCTTTATGGAGGAATAATAATAAACTTATCGAATGGCACAAAGGATATTTCTTTTATTTGTTCATTTGGCAAAATTAGTTTTTAAAATCAACTTGAATTTTACGATCGCTTGCTAATTAAACATAAACATAATTATGTTGTGTTGAAACAAATTTACTTCTGGGAACATTTATGTTTAATGAATCTCTTTGTTTTGTTTATTTTTACTGCTAAAATTGCGTCAATACAACTTATATTTGTCTGCTAATATTTTGATTGAAACCCCCATAATTATCGTGGGTTCTCCAGTCAGAGTTAACGCCTGAAGGGCACAATTTGCCAAAATTAAATAGGCCCGCACGAAGTTAAGATGTTACCTGTTTATCCAAAAGGACCACCCATGATATTGGGTAATTTTCCACCTTTGGCTAACTTATCAAGATAATGGCTTCATAATTATTTCTATTGTGAAGAAGTTTGGACCATTCTCAGCGTGTGTTTAACTTCTGTCCGACTGTGATTTCTAACACATCGACAAAGAAAAGGTATCCCGGTTCTTTTGTTCCACAATAATAATATGAATAAAACATGACAGTCTAAAAATACCACATACGGAACGAGATTATATTATACACAAAACAATTTAATGCGTGTTAGTGAAGCATTTATGTCTTGTGTCTTTATATTTTTAATTAGCTCGTTTCATTACGATAAAAGCAGCTATAAATTTTAAGTTGGTCAGGTCGCGGCCTTTGCGACGATTCCTTTCAATTAGAATCGACTTTGTTTTGTTATTAATAATAATTTGTTATGTTTTGCTTATAAATTTATATCAAATTATGCTTTTTTATGTGGATAATATTTCGAAAACTGAAAGGGCTCTCTATCTCTTATTGAGAAATTGCGTTTTAGAAAAGCTAACAATTTTCTGGAAGGGAATTATTGTCAAACTATTATCACTCTACATTTGTAAGAATATCGATGAATCTTCAACCAAGGATGATGTACATGTAAAAGACATCATCAACTTCAAGCTGAATTGAAAAGATCACGTCAACAGGGTCGTCCAGAAGACCACTGCTAACCTTTGGGCCTGTGGAAGATCAGGAGGCTGGATCAAAGACGCCTCAGACTCAATAGGTTCTTCAAAACTAAACAGAAGCCAACTTAGAGTCATTAAAAGCATCCCGATGGGGCACTGGGAAGTCAGATACCATTTGCACAAAATCGGATTTAATAATTTTGCAGTGAAGTAAATGAATTTATTAACACAATAAAGGAAAATAAGTGGATGTTTGTAGTAAAAGACCGGTTACATTAATTCTCCAATTATTATGAATTTTAGTAGTCCATTATCTTTAAAACTAGGCGACTAACTGATTTTGTAATTGCTGAATTTTGTACCAAAAGCACTGAAAAGTTAAAATTAAAATGTATGTATTATTTATTTCATAGGGTTCCTCGGGCCCTATACAGGCATCAGTTTACTATTGACTATGATGTATCTTAATAGGTGTAATCTGCCTTTGTCAAACTTTGTCCCAAAGAAGGATGTGTCAATGGAGTCAAAAGGTGTTCAGATTTACAGTTTTTGGTTCTATAGAATCTGCAAAGGTGTATTTTCAAAGATCAGGTAGCCTGTCCATTCTCATGTGGTTGAAAAAGTGAATAAAGCCTATTATGTGTTATGTATCTTTCCAGGTGCAAGTTAGAGGATGGTTTTAGGGGTTTAGAAAAAAATAAGTTTTGCACATTGTTGAAATGTTTCAATCTCCCACAACAAAATACCTATGTTTCAAAGGAAGACTCAGTCATTAGGAAATTAAAACACGTTGGCTTTTGAACAAAAATCACAACCTAAAACATATATTGGTGCAAAGATGAATCCACTTCAATTCACTCTGCTTAAATTCTAATCGAACAAAAATTTTGGAACTAAATTCAATCCGCTTAAAGTTTAATCCGACAAATTTACAATTGTTCGAGGCTTATTGGCTTTGACACAAATTCAGCCATTTGCCAACCGCTTTCTGAGTTGAAACTATTCAAGAAGTTTCCATTTAAAGTCCAATTTTCTCGACAATTCAGAGGTACACCGAAATTTTCCATTTCTTTTAGCTACAATTTGGTGTAATTCTGTTAATGGTCTTGTGAAAACTCTATAATTTAAGCAAACTTACCTTCAATAATCTGGATACATCCGAAAATGAAAAAGCTGCACTTGAATAGCATTATTTCGATAATTCGGCCAGTGTCAATATAGAATCCCAAAAAAAAATAACCAAACGATCACTCACTCCCCTTTAGGGAAACGTCCACTGCAATTAAAAAAATCCATCATTGTATCGCACAATTATTCATCTCGTAAAAATGACCAAAAACGCGACTTTATCGTAACGTCATCGTCGCGACGTAGGAGCCACACAGTTTTGGGGTCGATAGACGACTGAAATCGGCCCCGGCGTGTATACCGGGATGTATCCTGAATGATTCGCCGCCCCTCCACCACCCGGAGCCCGGATTTTAGTACTACGAATTTCAGCGAAGAGCTCCGGAGCTTTTTTCAGGTCTTCGGGCCGCTCGACGGCGGGCGGCGGAGGACCGTATAACGGGATGGGACGCTGACAAACCCTGGACCGATGATGTAGTTTTTGTTGGACAATATTTTGTTTGTCAGTGTCATTTGACAGCTTTGAGTGTCAGACGATTCATGAATCAAAAATAATACAATATCGTCATCAAAAGTTTTGATAACTGGGATCCTTTTCTTATAAAGATATCAGTGGAAACTGGAAAAGAGTAAAACACGTTTTTCCATTCAAGAGATTGAATGAATGGCACTTCGATTGTCCATCATGAGAATTGACTTTTCAGTCTCCAATATTTAAATCATTACAAATACCTGAAATACCTGTCAAATGCAATAGTTTTGAAGTTGTCATAAGGCTAGCCAAATATTCTGACTCGAAACTTGATTGCGCCACAACATTCATTTTTCTCAATATCCATGACACTAAAATGTTGCATCCACTCGCGCTCTTACTGTCTAGGTGGTCACTTTCCTAGTCTGTATCACTGTATGCTTTCAAAATGTTTATCCCATTTTCTGTTTTGTACACAAGGTTCATCTCGCCCTGATAAAATTTTCAATAGGTACTTTTTACCAGAAAATTCTTTCTCTAGTTCTTTCACTATTTTATCACTTCCAGGTCCCGTCACAAGAATATCATCTACCCTTAATGATTGCCAACCATACATTGGGTCCAAAATATAGTCAGCGAACCTGTTAAATCTTTCATTCCACATCTTTGAGGCTTCTCAAAGTCCATCATATAACATGCTTTTTTGAGAATTAAAGAATCAAATTTTCCTTGAATTACTAGTCCTTCTGATATTTTTATGAGAATATTAATGTTGAACTCCCCATTTTAGGAAGCTATCAGACAAACACAAGGGCCAGAAACACCTTGATACATAAAAAAAGTTGACCCAAAAAATCCAGCTAATTACCAGCCCATCGCTGGACTACAAAATCCTCACTTTTGCAGTAGCAGAGAAGGCCAGGGAAGCCATCCAGGTGATCACAGAGCACCTGGAACGAGCCTCAGCAGAAATTGGACTTCAACTCAACCGTGCTAAATGCCAAATCTACTCCAGAAATGCTGCCAACCAGAAAGAAGAAAACAATGCCCCCTTCCTGCCTGAGGTCAGACAAAGCTACAAATATTTGGGACTACATCAGCTCAAAAGAGACACCATGAATAACTATGAGTATATAGAGGAAAAAGTCATCCAAAAAGTGACTGAAATAGCGGAATCTGACCTCACAACACACCATAAAATCGCCCTGTCAACCGAGCTGCCAAACTACATCCAGGGAAACATCTATGCAAGCGAGAAATGAAGTACATCACTGAAAAAATGTAAGGACTTAGACACCAAAATAAGAAAAATACTTGTCGATCACAACTGCCAATGCCTACATTCAAGTGAAAAAGGGAGACCTTTGCCTGAGATCCACAGAGCTGGAAGCTGAAATCCAGTATGTTCGAAAAAGGGTATACTTATAAATGCACCACGGAATGTCCGAGGACCTAAAATCATATAAAGCACTCAGAAAGGCAGGCTAGAGAAGTAAGAAGAAAAGTACAGTATTGAGCTCAACCTGGCAGAATATGAGAACTTCAAAAAATGTTGCCAAGAAGTAGTATCTGGTAAAATCAAAGAAAGGTACTACAAAATGATAGAACAAGAATGCTATATGGTAGGAACGTCCTAAAAGAAAATGATGGCATAGAGTTCCCAGCCTACCACTCAACACATATGGATAGCTGGAGACTGAGTGTACTGATTGGTGCTTCGGAAGAATAGCTGCATGGTTTGAGATCAAATCCATTAGCGAGAAAAAGATGCATACAGTTTTGCAGCTCTGAGGATAACTCATACCACGTTGCCTGTGCATGTCCTACAAGCTCGAAAACAACAAGGCATGACTTCATGGTATACTGGACCCTGGAAGATACTCGGTGCTCCAGAAGAAGCTCAAAGAAATTTACAATTTGGCAAAGCTATAATAAACTGTGCCTATTTCAAAAACCAGAGACAATTCCGGATTGAAGCGGGAAACAAGATACTGACAGAGAAAAAACTATATCATAATAGACCTGATATAGTGGTCAAAGTTACTACTAACCCAGACCAAGTCTTAGTGTTTGAGGTCTCGCTTTCCCATATCCAGAATTACAGAGATCAAGAAAAACTTAAGCACACCAGGTATGAAGTCAACTCACCAATGCACCAATGTTAGAAACGTCACACGTGACCTGAACTTAATAACTGAGTTATCAATTATACACAGATGCCCCTCTGAACTTGGGGTTTTTGTGGTAGGTTGTTATGGAGAAATCTTGCACTCAGAAGCCCATAGACAGTTTTACAATCTGCTAGCAAAACTGGGAGTTGGGAAAAAAGATACACAGACTACTCTGTTGCTGTGTCCACTAGCAATATTCTCCTGGCCCGGATGCGAGAGAGAAAGCAATAATACAAACTGACTACCAATTCCTTAAGTGCAATTTGTTAAACAATTTCCTTTATTTATATACTAGTCAAAACGAAATAAGGACCACTTTTAAAAACGCATTTATTTTTAATGAATTTTGAATCACCCTGGTAAAGTGTTTAGTTCCATTCACAATATAATTTTTTAAATTTTTTTGCGCACACTTAATGTGTTTATCTATACTTACTTATTGCAAAAGGAAAAATCCACTTTACCATGGTTATTCAAAATTAAATAAAAGCCAAGCTTTTAAAAGTGGTCCTTATTTCGTTTTGAGTAGTTTATTATAACTGTGATATTAATGTGATACTTAGAGTAGAACAACATTTAATGTGAAAATATTTATTTTACATATTTATTTTTAGAATAAGATAAACTATGTAAAATTGAAAATAAACGATGTGTCAGTTGCGTAGTTTTCCCATTATATTGTATAGCATGGGCTATGAGCATCTTTATAGTTGGATATCTAGTTACTGGTGCATCAACATTGTAATACATTTCTTCATGATATCCTTTTGCTACCAATCTTGCTTTTTTCAATCCATTTAGCATCATTGTAAATATCCAACGTGTATCAATGGCCTTCTTTTCTTCAGGTATCGTTGCTGGCTCCCAAGTTCCGTATTTCTCTTAAGGCCTATTGCCTCTTTCCAGTAATTTGGAGCTAAAAACTGATTCAGTATAGTTCCTGGATTCTTCTCCTTCTATGATAAAATAATATTTTTGATATGTAATTCAAAGTCGTTGTACTTTTCTGAAATTCTGATTCTTCTTCCATTAGGCCGTTTTTCTTCATTATCATAATCTTCAATAGTTGGTTTGTCTTCTTAATTATTGTTTTCTTCTATTAAAGTGTTCTCTAGGTCCCTTTCATCTTCTTCAACATCATGCTTATATTTATTATTAGCCACACTAAAATGTTACATGTTGGGATATACGGGATATCATAGCTTCAACATTTATTTGATTTCATAGTCTATAGCTATTTCTACCATATTCTATGCTGGAAGTGCCTGGTTTCTAGTTTATCTCTTGAATCTGGCATTTTCAATATCCATGCCTTAGAGCCAAAAACTCTTAATTTATTTAAATCAATTTTACCATAGTAAATATGCTGCTGTACAGGGTGTCCAAGATTCGATGGTTTTAGCGGGTTTAAGGTACCACTTGCGAGCCTCAATTTTCAAGAGAAGTTGACCGGTGAAACCCGCATCTTGATGTCTCGATTCGTTTCTAAGCTACAAGGGGAAAAGTTAACCAAAATTCCATAAATAAAAAAGTTATAGCCCCCCTGTAAAAACCCCTCGTAGCATGAAAACGACTCGACATATCGAGATGCGGTTATCACCAGTCAATTTCTCTTGAAAATCGAGGCTCGCAAGTAAGGGTCAGATTTTTTCCAACTCCTTTAGAAATACCCGAAACCCCCCAAAACCATCAAATCTTCGACACTCTGTACATATGGTTTCTCCCTATAGATGTCTTGTTAAATTGGTCTCTGCAAACATAGCTCTTACCTTGTCTAACAACGTTCTATTTGCCCTTTCACTAACTCCATTTTGCTGATCTGTATGTGTATGGTAACGTGTATTCAATTTGTATTCCTTTCTGTTGACAAAAAAAAATTCTCAATTCTGCAGCTCGAAAAACACAACTATTATCACAGAAATAACAAACCAGTCAGAGCGAATTTCATTGGTTGAAAATAGTTAGGAAACTCGTTGTTGGCGATTTAGACCAATCAAAAACGCTCTGACTGATTTGTGATTTCTGTGGAAATAAACTCTTTGTCACACCTAATGCTAGAACATTTGAAATCTTTTATTCTTTTGCCATTTGCTTCACTCTTCCTTTGTTATTAGATATATTGTTGTGAAATGTGAAAAATTATCCATTATTATCTGATAATATTTCTCATTTTTACTTGTAGGTGTTTTCACAGGACCTCCAATATCAGTATGTAAAAAGTCTCCAGTTTTTCTTAACTTTGGAACTTTTGTTTTCTCAAATGGCTGTGTTGTTTGTTTTCCTTCCCTTAAGAACCACAAAGGAGGTTACCGTCAATTCGTTATAAAGTCAATTTGTTGTACCCTTTTTCAATAATTTCGCGCTTAGTCTTGACATTAAAATTCAAAATTTGACACCGAGATGAGCGCATATGCGTACCGAAGAGGACAGATAGGTAGGTACTACCATTGTCCCGAATAATAAGAACGAATCGATATCAGCTAGCAACCAGTACGGCTAATCCGCGTAAGAAATAAAATACAATTCACCTTCCATCGCAAATTTATTTCTCAACTTTCGATCGTAACTTCACGGTACTTCTTTGTACTGCCTTACTGTTACCAACTGGATTCTGGAGGACCCTGCTACACGTGCAGAACATCATCCATCACGGTAAATGTCCACCATTTAGTTGGAATTTGTATGATATCGCAAAAATATTCTTAAATTCTAATTTTGATTGATCTTTCACTATTATTTGCAATAACTTCTCAACAAACATACAATACCTGAAATACGACGAATTGATGTATACGACGAATTAACGTGTTAATAGTTCGCAATTTAAATCAGACAGTTCCTTTTCT